ATGTATTTTTTTTTCGTTGAAAAGATTGAATGAAATAAAAATAGGTCAAGTTCTCTTGATTTTCATTCACTCTTTGTGTGTGTGTGGAAAAACAAAACACGAAACAAGAACGAAAATGAAAATTCACTGGAATTGCTGCAAAAAACTAAGCTCAGTGATTTAATCCTTTTTTTTGTGCATTCAATGATTACCACTGTTTAGGTATTTTTAATTTGTTACCCAAAAAGAGAAAAAAAAATGAGAAAAAGGTGTTTATTCAACGACAATAACGACAAAAAAACATGAATTCATTTAATTCAAAATGATCATAATCTTACATAGCTCATATCAAATGAAACATTGTTACATTGTTTATATCATTCAATATAATCAAAAATGTGATATGAGACAGAAACAAAACAAAAAAATTTTTCAATTTACATTATAATGATGCTGACGATACCTATCAATGATAACGAGAGAGAGAGAGAGAGGACCGAAATAAAGAATTGAAAGTAAAAAAAAAAACAATTCTATCCACCACCACCATCATCATCATCATCATCAAGGAATGGCAAAAATTGGATAGAAAAAAAAAAAGATGCGCCAAACCTTGTAAAAAAAACATGTAAAGAAGAAAAAAAAAAAAAAAAATTTCTTTCGACTATTGCCATTGCCCAAAAAAAAAAAAAACAGCTTCTATGTGTGCGTGTGTGTGTATTGGCAATGAACACCTCTATAACACAGAAACACAAACACACAAACACACACACACACAGCAACTGTGGTACTTGATATTATGTAATATCTTACCTATCTATGATTTTGAAAAAAAAATTCTTGTCATTTAGATTCCTTTTTTTTCATTCTTTCGTCATCACGCTATCTTCATCATCATCATCATCTTTATTCCATTCATTTCTTCTTTTCTTTTTTTTTGTTGGTTATGGTTAGTTTTTTTTCAAATTTTTTCCATTGGTTGTTGAATAACAAAATCCAGGAACTATGTGTTTTTGTGTCGGTGTGTGTGTGTATGCATGTACAATGCAATAATAATCATAATAATTCTCTAGTTGAATATAATATCATGAAAAAAAAACAAAACAGTAAAATATAAAAAAAAAGTAAAAAATACGACGACTCCAATAATGCGTTATACCGACGAACCAAGAATCTCATCTCATTGACAATAATCGACCGTGTGTGTGTGTGTGTAATATTTTCTGGCTACCGTAGAATTTATGCGCCATCATCAACATCAACCACCACCACCACCACCACGATCACGATCACGATCACGACCAAGACGACGACGACGACGACCACCACCAAACAACAACATCGAATTTTAGTGATCATTTTGATTTTGCTATAGCCGTTATAATATGATGATGATGATGATTTTCATTTTCTCATTGATTCAATGATTCTTTTTTGGATTCTTGATTGCCATTCCTTCAGAATAATTTCTGTGTATTTGAATTTTTTTTTCTAAAAAAAGAATCTTCAATTTTTTTTTCTTTACTCATCATTTGCTTGCTTGATCGATTATATCTCTTCTTTCGATTGTTTTCTCCCCTCCCTTCTGCCCACCATTTTAAATTTATAATATAACACAACAATGATTCTCGTTGGTATGTTCACATTCTGTTCATTGATTTGTCAATGATAAAAAAAAATTATGTTTTTTTCTGTTCTCTGTTCTCTGTTTTCAACCATTTTTGTTTACCGCTAAATTTATTTATTCAATCTGCGCATGATTTATGAATAAAAACAAACATACAAAACAAAACAAAACAAAACAAGAAAAAACACATTGTTGTTTGTAATTCAAGAATCAAAACTTTAAATGCAACAATCACACAATTGATCGATACAATGAAAAATGAAAAAAAAAAAATTCAATTTAAACACGCGCCATTTTTTTCCTGCTTTGTTTTGTTTTGTTTTGTTTTGTTCCTACACCTAAAATTGATTTACTATGATTTACATTGATTTTTTTTTTCCTTTTTGGGTATCGATATATATATATTTTGTTGGTAAATGATTCTAGCCAATCTTTTTATGTCCGTCGTTCGCTGTATATTGGCCTGATTCCAATAAATTAAATTGAATAGAATTGAATGAATGAAAAAGTTTTTTTTTCATAATAAACAAAGAATCAAACGACGATTATAATCATCATCAACATCATATAATCGACCGCCCTTTCTCATCATCATTATCGTTGGTTGTTAACAATTTTCATGTGTGTGTGTTTGTGTCACTGTGTTGTTGATATTCTTTGTGTTTCCATTATCCTGATGTTTAAACATATTCTACATTCAATCAAAAGAAAAACACCGAGAAATATATAAAACATGATGATGATGATGATCATTATTATTATTATGAAATACAAATTATCAAGCTGAACAACAACAACAACAACAACAACAATCACATCTCATTATTATTATCATCGCGTTTTATTCTATTATTTTTCCTTTTTTCCTTACTGAATTAATGATTTATAATTTATACTACTACTACTACTACTACAACTGCAACTACAACATGAACCATTAACATTTGATTTTGGGAAAAAAAAATTTTTTTTTTCTTCCTGTTTTTTTTCCAAACAAAAGCAAAATTCATGATCAATACAACGTTGGCGATCCAATCAAATCAAAGACAAAAGAATGAAGACAAACAAAAAAAAATTACAATAAATTTCCAATATTCAATCACAGACTGACCAATTTTGATGGATCATATTTTGATTTTTTTTCATTCGTTCGTATGTGTGTGTGTGTGTGTGTGTGTGCGCGTGAATGTTTTTTGTAATCATCAAACCAAAAATAAAATGAAAAATTTTTAGCTCGAGGTTTTTTTTTGTATACCATTCATGTTCATCATTACTGTTCATAAATGATGTGATCAATATTATCTCAAATATAACAAGAGAGAGAGAGCAACAGCAACAAAAAAAAAATCTATCATCATTTATATTCATCGATTTATTCGAAATATATTCCCCTGGTTAATCAACACACACACACATCATCATCATCATCATCATCATCATCATTATTAACATCTAATCATCATCACCAACGAACACCGATCAATTGATCATCATCATCAACAACAACAACAGCGACAGCAAAAGCTGTGAGTCGTTTTTTTTCCATTTACCATCATCATTTTCATCACCTATCTGCATTGTTTTTCTCGTTTTTTCTGTCCATTATATATTCTGTCGTTTTTTTTAATTAGTAATTGTTGTTGTTTGATTTTTATATTTAGAATATAATCGAAAAATTCTCATCAACAAAAAAAAAAAAAAAAAAAATAATCGAATAGATAATAATAGAATAATGGCAAATGAGGTGGGCGATAGATCCTGGAATTGAGAAAATGATTATAGAATGTTTGTGTGTGTGTGTGTGTGTGTTTGTGCCACTATCTTCTCATATATGATCGAATAATGACAATGCACGACAAGATGTAATTATTAATTTCTTCCGTTTCATCATCATTTCATTTTATTTCAATTTGTTTGTACGTACGTTTATTGTCATAGACAAATAAACATTCATTGTTTTTCGATTTCATTCCCTCACCCTGTTTTTGGGTAAAAAAAAGCCAAGTAAACATCGATGATGATGATGATGATGGTTCTGGTTCTATTGAATTTTTTTTTACACTGTTTGTTGCATTATCGTCTATCCATCCAAAATGATCATAAGATACTGTGATGATGATGATGATGATGATGGTGGTAATCTTTATTGATTTGATGATCAAATTGTTTCAAAAGAATTTCGATGAAATAGTAAAAAAAAAATACGAGAAACTAAAATTAAATCAAGTTTCAGGAATCTATTTTTGTGTAATGTTTTTGCTAAAAAAAAAGAAAGAAAGAATAATAATAATAAAAACACTGTACACCGGGAATCTAAATTCCGATTGCCGTACATCCATTTTCAATCTAAGACTGTTGTTGAAACCAACAAACAACAAACAAACAAACAACAACAAAAAATAAATAAATAAATCTATGATGGTCGTCATTTGTTATACAGAATTCGTTTTTCTTATTCTGTTTGGTCTAGATTTCTTTCAACTTTTTTTTTCTTTTGGCAATTGTTTTTGGTCCCATTATAGATAGATCGGATGGTAGTAGTTTATTGTTTGTCTTTCTAGTGAATACTAAAGTTTTATCGAATTTTTTCCACACGCACAAGCACACACAATTCTATGTTTTTTTTCTATTATTGAATCAAAAAAATTTTTTTTTTCATATTTTCTTTCAATAGAAATTCAATGGAATTCTTGTTTGGATTTGTTTGTTGATTTGATGGATGACATTATCAAACCTGTTCAAAAACTTAATAAACAACCTAAAACATTTTTTTGAATTTATTTCTGACACAAAAAAAAACAAAATATTCTAGAATCATCATTTTCCATCTCATTAAAGCTTCATCATTCATTCATTTTATTAAACACAAACAACAATGTTCATGTGCATGAAACGAAAAAAAAAAATTGGAATATTCATTTTCATTCGTTGCATATTTTGTTGTTGAAAAAAAAACACAATGAAAAAAAAATTATATGATTTACCCATGTGCATGTGTATGATGATGATGATGATGAGTGTTTATGTATATGAACAACATCTGTAAACAAAACAGAAAAAAAGCAAACAAACAAACAAACACATCAAGTATTCAAATCAAATTATAGTAGATAAAATTATTATTTTTAGAAACGAAAACAAAAACAAAAAAAAATCATTTCAGTGTTTTTGTAATCAGGCAGAAACAAAAAATAGCAAACAAAATCAACAACTTGAATGGACCAAATATTTTCATCTGATTTTCAATGATGGTATTGTTGATATAATAATAATAATGAAAAACATTCTGGAATTCTTATCGGCCACCTGTTTTTTTTTCTTTCATTTAGATAGCGGAGAGAAAAAAAAATTCTTTTACATCCAAATGATAAAAATTTTAATTTGCTGAATTCAGTATTTTTTTTTTGTTTTGTTTTTCATATTCACAAAATGAAAACAATTTAAAACATGAATATTTGTAAAGAACGTATCAATAATCGTACCAAATCATTAAGAAAAAAATTTAGCCGTAATCGTAGCTATTCAGAATTATCATTTAAAGATGTAACATCACCATCATCTACATCAACGGCTGCTGCTGGTGGTGGTGGTGGTACAACAATCGCAGCAATATCAGCTGCAACGTTAACGGCGCCAAATACATCATCACAATCATTACGAAGTCCATTTCATTTGTTGTCGAAAAAAACATCTACATCATCATCGGTCATTATACCACAGCCACCTGCATCAGCTGGACCAATTATCCAATATCAACAATTACAGAATGAATCATATGGTTCTGCATTTGATCTTAACATAGGACCAGGTTCACCAACAATTGATCCTATTGGTCGTATCGATACGATTGGAAGACCATTTTCATGGCAACATGATGTTGCCATTCAATGTGATCTAATACCTGCACCACAATTGTTTATTGGAACATCAGATGTGAAAAAATCTACAAAGAAAAATCTATCTTCATCCATATCACATTCGGCAACAACAACATTAATTAATGTTGCTGCAGCAAAACTTCGAAATATTACTGATCATCATAGCTATGGTGGTGGATTAAATCAATCATCAACATTGATGACAACATCAGAAAAAACAACAGGAAACGGAACCACCGGCGGCGGTGGATGTGTTGGTCGATTCTGGAAAAGTACAATGAGTGTAACATTTCATCCACAGAATAGTGGCCCATCAAGTCCATTTACATTATCAGCAGCGGCATTAAATGGAAAAAAATCAACGTTTCATTGGACGGCAAGTGTACGACGACGACAACGTCGTACGCCAATATTAAAACGTGCAGCATCATTCAACGATAATTCTGGTATGGGTGAATATGCTCGTTTAGTACAAAGTACATCATCACCATCATCACCAGAATTAATTCATAGTGGTGATTATCTATCTACGGATATTGTAGGATTAAGTACAACTTCACAGCCAAAATTGATCCGTCCAACGGCTTTATTAAGTGCAAGTGCTGCAATGACGGCCACAGCAACAGCATATCCACATTTAGCTACGGTTAAATCCATCAAAACCGAAACACCATCTACATCATCGATAAATCATCGACGTAATAAGCAAATATTTTCAGCTCCAGATTCATTCGATGATTCAACTGTCGATGATGATGATGATAATGATAATGATGTTGATACCGATACGAATATCGTGATTCTTGTAAGAATATTTATTATTATTATTATTATAAAATTCAATTCAATTTAAAACACTATGAATTTCCATACTAAAATCTTTCATCTCTGAAATGTAGGATAATAGTAATCAAAAACGACAAAAACGTATTAGTGATCGACGAAATCTATCGAAATCATCACATTATCATAACGATGAACATTATTATGTTGATGATGATGATTATGAACAACGGAATCGTTCCGGTGACAATGAGCTTTATAATTTTGACACTAAAAACAGGTAACAAAAAAAAATAGAATAAATAATTGAACATGAGGATCAACATCTCTTTTTTTGTTATGTTGTCATGTATAATTTTTTTCAAAAATTTCGAAATATTTGATTTTTTTTTCTCCACTTCATTCTCATATCATTTTTTCCCATAGACTTTTGAACATATCACTTGAAGCATCAAGCCAACAGGAACAAAAAATGGCCATGAAACCATTTCTATTAGATCTGCCAAAAAATAGTGGATCAAATAATGGTTTAGGTACAGGTGCCGGTAACGGTAGCTGTGTTGGAAGCGGTCTCCAAGTACCGGGTGGTTGTAAGTGTTTTTTTTGTTTTGTTTCGTTTTCGTTCATCCCGTTTTCATCATCATCATCATCATCATCGGGAAAAAAAGAATGTACCTAATCTCTGTACTTTGTATTGTTATTTAATTTTTTTTCTATTCATTCTTCTTAAATCCCATTATTATGATGATAATAATAATCATACATTAGCTACCGCACATTCATATCTAAATCTACCATCACCAAATATCCAGTCAGAGGTAGGTGGTAAAAGCTTTTTTTTTAAGTGTAATCCATTAACATTGTTTTTTTTCTTTATTTTTATGTTTCTTTTTCATTTTTATGATTCTTTTCGAATGGTTCAAATATATTCATTTTCATTATATTTATATACATTAATAGATTCAAGATGTAAATCCAGTTTTAAGAAAATTATCCGTTTTAAGTAAACAACCGGAATTAATTCTACAACAACATAATCATCATCATCATCATCATCATCATCATCAACAACAACAACAACAACAGCAACAGCAGCAGCAACAACAATCATCTGGACAATATGGCCAACAACAACAAAATTATCATCATCATTCGAATGAAAATAATCGTAAAGGTGGAAAAAGTCGAAAATCTTGTGATTCACAAATAGATGATGATTATCTTCTCTATGATTATGATGATACGGAATTAATGGCACCAGATGAACAGCCATCAGTTGAAGAGCTACAACGACGACGTCGTCGTCGAGCACTTGTACCACCGAAATTAATTACTGATGGTCCGTCTATCGATGATGATGATGCAGGATCGGATAAATCTATTACAAATTCTGCAACAAATGATGATCCTCGAGATGATGATGATAATAATTTCGGTGAACGATCACCACCAATCAATAATAACCAATCTTCAAAATGTGGAATCTCAATCATTGATACACCAGTCGCCAATTATAACAAAAATTCTGGACGAAATTCATTGCCAAGTTTTAATGTAGAAATAACCGGTTGTAGTGGTCCAACCTCATCATCGATAGGTGTGGAACAAACATCTGATGGATCAGTATCGGATCATCCTGATTCTGGTGATGATTGTTGTAAACGAAAACCAACATCAACTATGATTGGTGATGATGGTGGTGTTGATGGCCGTAAATCACCACGTAGTGATGAACATTCATCACCACCAAGTTCAAGTTCAAGTAATTTACTTGGTGTTAATCTTCATAGCCCTTCAAATAAGAATCGTCGTCGTTCATCAGTTGTGGTTATACCACCGATGCAAATATGTCCTGGTGATCTACTTGTCTATAGTAAAGTATTGACACAACGTGCCAATATGATTGCTGAAGGTGGTGGCCTTGCATCGAGCTTATTAAGTGAACACGATAACCGTAAATCACATAAAAATACCTGGTCTTTATTACGGTTGGTAAGTAGTTTTCCTCGAATTCATTGAGATTGATAGACGGCTTTTATAGTTAGTTAGAAGTTAGGCAAACACCCTACTTAATTGTTATGAATGCATGTGAATGTGTGTATAGGAGTGTGGGTGTGTTGCAAAAATGTTTCCTCTCTATTTTCTGTGTGCTGGAAGAACAAATTTTTTTCTGTCCATCCAAATGTGTGTTCAGTTTGACAGGTCAGGAAGCCGATCAAAAGCTGATCAAATTCTTTGTGGCCTTGAAGAATTTCTATCCAATCTTCCGCCATCAAATTCATTTTTTGATGAATCAATGCTTCGTTATCGTGTAAGTATTTTATTTTGAATAAATAGAATGAAAAATGAAAAAAAAAATTAATTTTTTTTGGCAGGCTATATCATGGTATGAATTTCAATCAAGATTAGAAAAACGTCGAACATCGAATGATGGTTCAACATCTTCAGCTGTATCGTTGATCAATGCCGTATCGATTGGCCAAGCTAATCAGCATCAATTTCATTCAAGATTTATTGATAATTCTCGTCATAGTTCATTACAATCGAATGCATTGGATACGATAGCTATCAATTGTCCAATATGTCATCGTACACAGAATGTAGTTGTTATGGCAATTCAACCATCACAACCACAGCCACAACCACAACCACCTGTACCGAATGTTCAGACACAGGTAGCTCCAGGATTAATGCCAATCAATATGCAACAGAAAGCGGCATCATACAGTGTTGATCGTTTATTAATGCAAAATAATGACTCCAACGCAACAACAACAACAACAACAAATAATGCCAAATATGAAGTACAAAGTGCCAAATATTATCAACGTACTGATTCTGTTTCCACTGAACAAGAAGTGGAAAGCATTGTGGATTTTGAAATTGCTGATAATCCTACGGCAGATCAAACACAACAACAACCACAGCCGCCATCTAATGCCAGATCTCAACAACCAAATAATTCAGTTAATGTTACCACCGACATCTATGGACCGGGTCCACCACCAGAACCATCACAATTTTGTCGTGATTGTTTTCAACAATTTAAAAGAGAAAAACGTCGTAGAGAAGCATTGTGGGAATTATTTCAAAGTGAACTATTATTTCTTGTTGATCATTTAATTGTATTGAAGAATGTATTTATGGAACCATTGAAAAATATCCAAGTAGAAGGTTATGCAATGTTTGCCGAACCTGAAGTATTATTTGGTAATCTTGATGAATTATGTTTAGTTACATATGCATTCTGTAAAGAATTTCTAAATCTTCTTATACAACAAGAATCATCCGGTGATGGTGTACAAGTGACAAATATATTGAATAAATTATATCTGAAAAATAATCGTTCTTCATCATCGGCTCAAGCTTATCATCGTTATACGTTGAACTATATAAATGCATTACAATATCTGGAAACATTACGAAGACAATTAGAATTTACAGAATTCGAAAAGGTATGTTAGTTTTTCAATCATTTTGAGAACAGAATTTTATTTTTGTTTTTTTTCCCCGTTGTCGTTATCGTTAATAAGTGGTGCAATCGTGATCCACGATGTAAAAAACTTCAATTAACCGATCTATTAGTCACACCTGTACAGCATGTAATGCGTGTTCCATTATTGTTGAAAGAGATTGAGAACAAAACTCATCAACCGGATGAAAAACGTATTATACAATCAATTATTGAACAACAAGAACATAGCCTTCGTGAATTGGATGATAAGATGCGTTGGTTAAAGAATTTTGAACGTTTATTGGAAATTCAGCGTAATATTTTATGGCCATCCGTCCTCGATATGGATCCAAAAGTTTTTGTACCGGAATTTTTGAAAAGTTTTCTACAAAAACAGCCATGTGAACGATTGATTGTTAGCCCTAGGCGACAAATTGTATTGGAAGGACCATTGATGGTGATGGATAGTGGTAAACCGATAGAAATGTATGTCTTCCTATTCGATGATTTATTACTAATTACTAGACGAAAAAAAGGTCTTGGTAAAAAGGTATGACCTAATTTTTTTGTAATTTTGAACAAGCAATGTTTATGAATTTTATTTTTGTCTAGCAATCAACCTTGACCGAACGTTGGGTCACTAATTGTAGTGGCCGTACATCCAGTTATAGTTCAGTAGGTGGATCAGGTGGTGGTTCTGGTATGGGTGTTTCAAATCCATCTGCCACGGTTGTTGCAACAACAATGGTAACCGGTGCTGGTACCAGTACCAGTATTAGTGGTAGTAATGTAGTAACCGCTGCAGTATCCACTGTTCCTGGTACTGGTTCCATATCGACAACAGCGGTTGCAGGTGCTGGTACTGTTGTCACATCTGCAGCGGTTGGAGGTCATGTTACATCTGGCAGTTTAGCTGGCGGTGGTGGTCATCATGGATCATCATCTGGTCATCATGTAATAACTACAACAACGGCAAGCGCCGGTTCAATTACACAGACTGGTGTAAATCTAATGACATTACATGGTGAACCACATCATGGTCCATTGACTGGTGGTCCATCATCGATTAGTGGTGGTGTTGGTGGCAGCAGTAGTAGTGCTGCCTGTTTTAAATATGTGGTCTATAAACAGCCATTATCTTTGGATCGATTCTACATACATGATGTACCTGGATCGGATGGAAGTGGTGGTGGTAGCGGTGGTGGTGGCAGCAGCAGTAGCAATTTGAAAAATGCATTTGTCTTGGTTTGTTTGAATCGATTTCAACAGGTCATCACTGTTCATACATTTCAAGCGGCAAGCGAATCGGCCAAAGTAATATTTTGTCTTTTTTTTAAAAGAACAACAAAATTATTAATCGAAATTTTTTTTCTTTATTCTAGCATACCTGGCTATCCAAATTACGTAGTACCTGTGATCGTTGGAAACGTACATTACAAAGTAGTTGTGTATTTCGTGCACAACAGCAACAACAATCTAATACTGCTACCAAAAGTGGTAGTGGTGGTGGTGGTGGTGGTGGTGGTGGTGGTGCTACTGGTAATGAATCGCAAAAATCTTCCTCTTCCCGTCGACAGACACAAACAAAAAATGATTCAGAATCCAAACCGACAACATCCGTCCATCATCAGCAGCCTAAGAATAAACGAGTAACAGAAATGGTACATCATCATCAAGGACATCAACAGCTATCGAGAAGTCCATCCAATCCACCAACACGAACATCATTATCAGCAATAAATTTTTCAGAAAATTCAAACCAAAAACCAATTAAAACAACAACCACTAATGATTGTGGTGATAAACGAATGAGTATCGATAGTATCAATAGTGTTGAAGCATCAGTTAGTTATCAGATTGATGATAGTCAATTAACAGCAACGACATTCACCTGACAAAAAAAAAACAATTAATAGCCAAATCTTTATTCTATCATTCACACAACAATTAAATCTTGATGCTTCATCACTATATTCGATCACAACCAATACCTCTTCCTTTCATCATCATCATCATCATCATTATCATTATCATCATCATCCTTTTTCCAAATTTATTTCGTACAGAGATTATTATTCTTGTTCTTTTTTTTCCCTTTCTATTTTGATAAATCTACTATTATCACTTCTACTATTTTCCTACTTTTAATAATTTACATAATCAATAACCAAACACCAACAACAACAACAACAAAACAATGATCATTATCACTCTATTTGATTTTATTTATTTATTATTGAATCCTACTACTTTCCCATACACATACACACACACATATTTAACTAATTCTATATATTATCTACCTTAAATTACCAATGAATCTATCTAAAACCATTCTAACTTATTATGCACATCATGACCTTACGAAAAAAAAACCTCTAAACAAAGATAAAAACGAACAAACTGATAAAAAACAAATAAAAAAAAATGATGAAAAGCGAAGCACACACACACACAAACAAACAAAATGAGCAATGTGAATCTGGTCAAAATTTATGATTTAATATATCAGCGCTTCCTAAACGTTGTGGTTGGCGGGTGAAATTTTTTTTTTTTTGAAACGCTGTTATATATTTATGTTAATTGATATTATTGAATAAAGAAAAATTGATTGTGATTGAAAATTTTCAATTTTCATAATTGAATTTTTAATAATTACAATCATTATTATTATTATTATTGATAGATGATAGATAGTTATCATGGAAATTTTTCATGTGTTCTGTGTGTGTGTGTATGGATATGTATAAATAGATGTGTTTATCATGGTGGTTTGATATTTTTTTTTTGCATTCAAAAAAAAAAAAAAAAAAATTCAATATATATCACTGGAAAAAAAACATTAAAGCTTCATATATATGATGTTGTATTTAGTGGATATTGATTCAAGTAAAGTAGAAGAAAAGTAAAAAAAGAAAGATAATGAAAAGAATATATATGGCGAACTGAATGAATTGTTTTTAAATTTAAACTGTGTGTGTGTGTCAGTGTGTTATGATGTGATTGGCAATCAATTGATGATGATGACGATGATGATGAGAAGCAAAAAAAAAAAAAAAATTCTGAATTGAAATGGGTGCAGCATAAATTGCAAATGTTGATGATGATGATGATTCGTGGAAAAATATGATGATTATCATGTCATTTTCTTGTGTTGTTTTCGTGTTTGTGTGTGTGTGTGTGTATTAAATTTACAGCGAAATTTTTTTTTATTTTTAGTTTTGTTTTTGTAAGTTGTCATGGCCATTTCAATTGGTCATTTGGAAAAATGAAATATTTGTCTGACTTTTATGTGTGTGTGTGTGGCTAATTATGATTATTATTAATAATAATATATAATGAGAAGAATAATTAAGTAGGAAAAATTCAGGGAAAAAAAAGGCCAAGCAAGCAAACAAACAAACAAACAAACAAATAAAAAAAAGCAAGAAAATGAAAAAGTGAGAGGCAGTTTTTTCAATTGAGAAGTTTAGGTAAACTTTCAGTTTTCCCATCATCAAAATAGGATGTTTTGTTTAATTACATTTGCATTATTTTTTTTGTTTTGTTTAAATGCAAATCTAACAAACTTTCCATGATAATGGACCAACTTTACCGCTAGTAGGAACAGCATTATTTCCATTATTATTCGTACCAAAACCAGCACCAAAACCGTTTGGTCCGAATGAAGTTGATGATGATCCAAAGCTGCCAAAACCACCGTTAAATTTTCCACCTTCATTCTGAAATCCTCCTCCAGCACCACCACCACCACCACCACCAACAGCACCACCACTACCGCCATTGATATTGGCTCCTCCTCCAAAACCATTGGCAAAACCAGGACCAAATGTAAATGCATATGGACCACCATGGCTATTGGTAGCAGCCGCTGCAGCAGCATGATTCAAATTCGTAAGGAATTTATTCACCTGTGGTGGAATGAATGCAGCACCAGGAAAAGCTGCTGGAGCAAATGGTCCCATCATAGCTGCTGGATTACCACCATACGATGTACTTGAACTAAAGCCTTGGCCGACAAAATTTCCTGGTCCAGAATTATGAAAATTACCGGGCTGATTTTTATTGTTATTATTGTTGTTGATATTGTTGTTAATATTATTATTATTATTATTATTATTGTGATTATTTGGACCATTATTATTGAATGGTGGTATAATGGGCGCCACTTGATTGCTACTAAATGTATTTGATGCTGAACCAAAATGATTATGTTCAAATGGTGATGTATCCAATAAATGATTAGTATGATGTTTGTTGACAACGTTGTTAACACCAGATGGAGGCATCAGATTCGTAAAACCATTAAATTTACTATTATCCATGATATTATTATTGTTGTTGTTGTTGATTAGGTTGGCATTACCATTATAATGACCAAATGGAACAATATTATTATTATTCATCATATTAAATGGTTGAATACCATTGTTATTATTATTATTATTATGCATAAAATTATCCATATTATGTGGATGACGAATATCACGAATAGATTTCGATGCAATATTACCGAATGTATCTCCTCTAAAGCCATTGTTTGGTGTATTGAAATTTGTACCAAATGGTGGTGGAAATATTCCATTATTACCATGAAAACTATGACCCATATGATGGTTATTATTATTATTATTATTTTGATTTTGATGATGATTATTGTTATTAAAATTTGAATTCGATGATAATGATGATGGAGGTGAATCCATTGCCATTGAATTATAATTACTTATGGTTGTCGATGCTTGTTTATGAACAGGTCCATTATTATTATTATTATTATTGTTCATCATCATCATTGATGATGCCATTGGTGATTGTAATTTGCCATTATTATTATTATTACTGCTGCTGCTACTACTACCTGAATCTTCACTTTTCTGTATGATAATCACCGGTATAACAGGTGATTCTTCATTAAAATCAGCAACTATGAATGTTACGAAATAATATTTTAGAAATGATAATATAAAATAATTAGAATAATATTGTTAACTAACCAGAACTAGATCCAGAACCGCCATAATTACCATTGGTTGACAGTGGTGATTCTTGATAATCACCATCATTTGGTCCATTTGAACCAGGACCATATGATGAAGCCTGTGCATAGCTACCCATTTCGTTATTGTTAACATGATTATTGCCACTAGTTCCACCTGAATTTGATGTAGAATTTGATTTTTAGAAAAAAATGTCTCAAACACAACACACAAACACACACAAAGAGATAAAGAATTTTCATTCCTACCATTATTATTATTATTATTGTTGTTGTTATTATTTGTGGAACGATGTTTAGCCGTTTTTACCGGTATAACCGGAAGATAAAGTACTTTATATGAAGATTTTTTCTGTCCACTATTACCACCACTATTACTACTACCGGTTACGGCATTATTCTGACCACCATTATTAGAATTTGTATCATAACCATGATTATTATTTTGATCATCACGACGATCATTCATCATGACAAAACCAACATCATGGCCAGATTTATCATTATTATTATTATTATAATTACGATTCAAACGATGAATATGATGATGATGTTGTTGATGACGGCTATGTCGATTTTTATTATAATCATTCACATCAGGTTGACATTGTATCAATATGGCCAATGTACCGATGATGAAGATAATGATGATAGTTAAAACATTCATCGACAATGAATTGTATCGATTCATTGTGCCGATGTTTTGATATTTTTTTTTTTGTTTTCACCTAAAAGATATTAATTATGAGAGTATAATTTTAAATGAAAAGGACAAAAAAACAAACAAAATTCAATCAATCAATGAATAATTGATTAATAATCAATCATTATTATCATCATCAATGTTGAAGAAAATGAGAACAAAAAATTGGTTAAATGAAATTATACAAAAAAATGAAACGAATTCATTATTTTTAATAATTTCATTTTTTTTTTAAATTTAAGAAATTTTTTCCTCTTAAATATCGGTGATGATGATTAAAAAAAACTAAATTTTTTTTTGTTCAAATTCTCATCGTTGATGATTAAAAATTTTGTGAATGGTATGGAAGGGAAAAAACTTACGATTTAATTTGAAAAATCAACACCAGAATTCAGACGCACACACACACATAAATCAGATGGATGTGAAAACAAAATTAATTTTCATTGGATTAGATTTGATTTTCTTTTTCTTTTTTTTTCTTGGCTACTGTTGCATCACTTAGACGCATTTACCACGATGAACATTAACAATAACCAATGACATATAAACACATGCATGTATGCAGACACAAACACAAACACAAAAACACAAAAAATTGTACACCGTGGATTATGTTGTGATGATAAAATTCACATTTGATGAACAATTATGAATATAAAAACTTCAACACAATATATATATATATACAATTTAACACTTTGAACGCGCGCACACACACAGACACACATACACACTCACGGGTTAAATGATTATGAAAAAAAAATCTGTATGAAGTTTTTATAGCTTGTGAAAGAGGAGAGAGAGAAAAAAAATCATTCAAAAAACGAGAATGGATGTTACATTAGTTTTGGTTATCATCATCAACATTGAATAACCGCAATGTTTTTTTTTTCTATTTGGTCACTCTTGTTCTCAACTTGTTTTTTTTTCTCTCATCTTTCACCATCTTAACAATGCATCTGATGACAAAAATCATTCGTATATAAAAAGAGGATTCTACTAACGGTTTTTCTTGCTGTTTTTCTTTTTCTGCTCATCAATATTTAGTTTTTTTTTCTTTTTTTTTTCTAACCAGAAAAAAAAACAAAATCGTGATGAATAACGACGATCATCATCATCATCATCATCATCATAGCTTTTTGTTTGTTCACTTTCTCTTTTTCGTTTGTATGTGTGTGTGTGTCCGATAATGGATGAATGTAAATTAAATTATATCTGATTTTTTTTTTTGGTTAATCACGATTTGATTTAAAAAGATCGATTTTTTTCTGATACAATAAAAAAACCAATGGAATGGATTCAAATCGGTAGCATAACGAACGAATTGTTTGTACACATATTTTGTCATTTTGAATGGACAAACTTTTTTTTGTAAATTTTTAAGACAAGAAAAAAAACTAGGAGCCTAGCACGTTTTTTTTAAAGGGTAAATTTTTCTTTAACAACGATACATTCTTATCCATCACAACAATAATAATGATGATGATGATGATGATGATTGTCAGCTAAATTGGAACCTGATTATATATAAATCACATTCCATTCATTTTAACTTTTTTGTTGTTGTTGTTGTTGCTGTTGTTGTTGTTGTTTTTTGTTACAATCAAAGCCATATACATTGAAAATGTGGTCATCTATTGTATGTGTAACAAATGATGATGAAAACACTACCACCTCCACCAATATATATATATACTATTAACATTAACTACTACATACAATATTTACAAACTGAATAATAATAATAATGACAGAAAACCTTTTTTTTTCGAGGTTAAAAATAACCTCGAAACCAATTCATTTGGCTCCATCATAATCATCATCATCATCAGCAACACCATTATCATCATCATATGACGATGATGATGATGATGATAATAGCCATAGGCCAAGTAAAATGGGTAAAAAAAGGATAGTCTGAATTGTGAATGAAAAAGAGAAAGAGAGAGAGAGAGGTAGACATCATCATCGACAGAGACAGAAAAAATTTTAAAAAAATTTTGGATTCTTTTTTCTTCTCTCTCTCTTTTTCTCTCCTTTGGTCATTTGAACTATTCATCAATGATGGAAAGAAAAAAGAAATGAAAAAAAATAATAATTTGTCCTCAAAACACACACACACACACACACAGAACCCATAATGTTTGTTTGTTTATTTTTAATTTACTTGACTTTTGCTTGATATAATTATGTTCATGTGCGTGTGCGTTTTGGAATTTTTGATGAATCACATTTTTTTTTTTTTGGAGTTATGAATTAGAATTTTGAAAAGAAAAAAATGAAAAATGTCACATTTGTTTTTTTTGTTTCCATTCCAATTCATATTCATTAAAGACAATTATTTTTTGTTGTTGTTGTTGTTGGAATATAACGGGTTATTTTTTTTGGGCATATTTTAACTCATTCATCATCATCTTCATGATAAAATTCACGTATGAAGCCGCACACACACACACAACATACGAATTTATTGATATGGAACTTGAAATTGGAAATTTTTTTTTTTTTAATTCTAAAATTAGAAAATCCAAATTATATCTGTGTGTGTGTGTGTGTGTGTGTGTGTGTGTGTGTATGTTTTGTTCATCATGAATGGTTGAAAAGAATTCATCATCCATGATCGATTGATTGATTGATTGATTGATTGATTGATCGATTGAATAATTTTTTTTTTCTTTTCCATACGTGGTGATTGTGATGATGATTTTAACTTTTGAACAATTTTGTTCTAATAATTTTCATTCCAATCGACCATTTTTATTATTATGATTCCAATTCATCATTGTATTGAATCAAGGGAAAGGATAATTTTACAATTTTACACACACAACACACATAATGATTGCACTGAAGAAAAAAAAAATATTAAATTTTTTCTATTTTGACCCAATTGGATAAAATTAGCATCAACATCGTCGTATATTTATATATATATATTTTTCTATGTAATGTCATCATATATAACTTTTTTTCCCCACCCCCCCGAAATTAAACCAATAAAAAAAATCAATAAAAAAAACCATAGAAATTTCGATTTCAATTTCAACAAATTTGATAATTTAATAAAGCACGAAATCTAAAAAAAAAAAAAATAACGAAAAACCAAGAAAAACCAGAAGCCAACGCATCTTCCATTATCATCATCATCATCATCATCATCGTCGTCAATTATGATCAAAGATAAGAGAAAAAAAAGATGAAAAATACCGATAATGATCATCACAGGCAGCAATAATAAAAAAAAAAATTTTTTTGATTGAAATTGATTTCACACCAAATCAAATATAAATTATTATTATTATCATTATTTAGTAGGTCAAATAATGGCCAGTAAAAAAAAAGATGAACAGAAAAATCAAATCGATTGAACAGTTGAAAGAGAGAGAGAGAGGAGAGAGGAACATTCAGAATTGAAAATTTATTACATTTTAAATTGTAAAAGTGGGAAAAAAAGATAAAATTTTTTCAATGGTTTTTTTTTGAGACTTTAGCAATAATTTTATCATCATCATCATTATCACATGTCATCACCACCAACATTTGAGTAGATTTATTTCATTTATACACACAACAACAACAACAACAACAAAAAGATGTGTGTTTTCCATTTTGGTACAAGTCAACAACAAGGAACCTTTTTTTTTGTTGTTGTTGTTGTTGTTCTCTTTGTCTGTCTGAGATAACGACAAATAAATCTCATTTTTTTTCTTCTTCTTCTTAAAAATGGCACCATTTTTTTTCACTTCTATCTGAGATATAATAATCTTTTGTTGTTGTTGTTGTTGTTGTTGTTGTTGTTGTTGTGTCATTTTTTTCACCATTCATATCGCCATTACAGATCTGGACACACACACACACACACACACGCAAAACGAAGACAGAAATTCACACTTTTCCGATTGATGTAAAATGGGAAATTTTTTTTTTTCTTTTTTTCATTTCATCAATAGAATAAATAAAATTTTATCGATGACAAACTTTAGCTTAACCTTGTTATAGTGTGTGTATCGATACATTGATGGATCGTTCGGTATGAATATCCGTACTGAAAACATATGGCTATGCATGTAGTGTATGTGTCACATATCAAACAATACGATATGATGTGTGCGAATGACAAACAAGACAAGAGGAAAAAATTTTTTTTTTTTTTTTTTTTGGTTATAAATTTAGATTTTCATCTCATTCGATTCACACCAATATCCGTCATCATTATCATATGGCCATTGAAAGCGAATGAAATTTTGTCTGTTTGATCAAGAATTTTTTTTTTTTTTTTTTGATTTGGAAAAAAATTGAATTATTATGTTGATTGATTAGAATCATTGATTGATCGATTTGTTTTTTTGGTTTGTCTTCCATAATCACCATCATCATCGTCAATAGAAAAACTCGATCTTCAAAAAAAAAAATGAAAAAATGAAAAAATGAAAAAATTTTCAGTAAAAAACATACACACATGTTTTACATTCACATTCCAATTTGGAATTCTCAATTGAGCTTTAAGATTTGTATTTTCTTTCACTGTTTTTTTTTTATTGTTGTTGATGTTGATTTTGAAGCTACTTACATTACTAACTCTAAAAATGGACACACACAACATATATTCGGTCATCATCATCATCATCATCATCATCATCATCATCGTCGTCGTCGTCGTCGTCTTCGTCTTCGTTTTCATCGTCGTCGTCCATCTCAATTGAAGAGATTGGAGCCCAATACATAACCGTAGTACAACGAACAAATAAGACGAATGGAAAATTATCCTAAAAATAGCCCGATTAGCTGATTGTGTTTAAATAATGTCCATCCAACCATCCATAGCATGGTATGTAATGAAAAAGACTGTGTTGAATGTTTGCAAAAACCAATGTCCATCATCATCATCACCAATTGTCTGGCATTAGGTAGTAGTGGTACCAATGTAGTAGCAGCAGCAACAATTTTATTTATTTGTTGTCAATTTGAATCGATTTTTTTTTTCTTGAAAATTTTAATGAAATTTAAATTTAAAGAATATTTTTGTGTTTTTTTCTGCAAAAAAAAAACCAGCCGCTATTATAATCGACACGCATCCAATATCAATCTGAATCAAATGAATTTGTTCGTTTTTTGTCGGGATTTACCCGATCAATTTAGTGAAAAAAATTTTTTTTTGCTGATAATGAGGATGATGATTGTGACATTTACCCGAAAATGATTCAACAAAGCCAATCTAGGACATTAATCATTAAAGTTTGAAAATTTAGTTACAGTTGTTGTTGAAGAAAAAAAAAGACAATTTGATGGCATTAATCAATAAAGATTGAGATTGTGGTTTGTGTTCATGTGTTATTTGATCCGGTTAAGAAGAAAATGATGATACATTGAATTTTCGCACTTTCACTCTGTCTGAAAAAAATGTTAAATCTACGGCAAAGAAGTTGAAAAAAAAGATTAAAAATCAACAACTTTGAGGTCGGTCGGTCGGTCGGTCGGTCGGTCGGATGGTTGGCTGGTTGGCTGGTTGGCTGGTCAGATTTCATTTTTAAATCAGGTAATTGAATTATACATATATCATCATCATCATCATCATCACAAGATTAGATAAATGAAATAAATATATTTCTCGACTGAAATAAAGTGCAATTATTATCATTATTATTATCATATTCAGCTTAAAGGCAATATATATATAATAAAGTATTACATAATAATCCAAATACATGAACAAAAGGGGATTGGATTGATTGGTGGAGAACAAAAAAAAAAGGTTTGGCCCAATGTTTATGTTTTCAATTTTTGTTTTGTTTTGTTTTGCAATCACATCATCAAACTGATCATCATCATATATTGAATGATGATTTATATATGGAGGATTTTTACAGTTTTATTTTTCATAAATTCTCCACAATTGATTCCATCCACACACACACACACACACACACAGTGACTGTTTGAATTTTAATGAATTTTTTTTTTTTTTTGATCCAATAATTCATTTTTTTTATTATTATAAAACACATCATAATCAGCTACAAATATGACCGATAAAAACTCGATGATGATGAAAACAAACAAATCACGAGAAAAAAAAATAAATTCAAATCAAACACAAAATTGAATCTGTTTTTTTTCCTTTCATTTTTTTTTCTTTTTTTCGAATAATAACTTAAGATCATCATAGATTGGCAAAAAAAAAATATGGCCAGATAAATATGATGATGATGATGATAGGGTTCATCAATTCAAATTATAATAATAACAAGTTGTACTGATAACAACAACGAAAAAAGGAATTATTCAAATCAATTTTTTTCCCCGTTTGCAAACATCACGATATGTCCACCCATTTTACAATAAAAAAAAAATTTTTTTTTGAATATAAAAGCAATTCACGTTATTTTCACAGATTAAAAAAAAATTGATTCTAATAATGGGTGATAATAACCGACTATTTGTTACCACGAACAAGCTCCTTGTTGTTGTTGTTGTTATCGTTGTTGTTGTTGTTGTTGTTATTGATATTTGAATGACAACAAATCATATGGTTCAAAAACGCACACACACACACACAATGTATGTCCATTTATTTCAAATTGATTTCATCAATGTGATAATAATAATATTTTAAAAGAGAAAAAAAGAAGAAGAAATCAAAAAAAATCAATCCAAATGGGAAAACAAAACAATCCTATTGATCTAATCCAATGATGATGATTGATAACATGGTTGATGATGATGATGATGATGATTGATGGATAGATTCAGGTTTATTATTATTATTATGATTATGATTAACGATAAACAAAAAAATATCGAAATCGCCAAATTTAAAATCTAAAATCCATTCATTCAATCAAAAAAAAAAAAAAAAACAAACTAATCTTTTCTCTGTTCTTCTTCTTCTTCTTGTCATGATATTATTATAATTATAATCTCAGTTGCTGATGATTATAATGATGATGATGATGATGATGATATAATAATATTAATTATCCAAAACCAAATGAATGGAGAAAAAAAAACAATTTAATTATGAGAAAACATCAAACATTTATCAACAACAACAACAACAAATGAATGTCCATCATCATCAACACCAGTGGTCAGTTTCAGTAGTCATCAATGTTTTTTAGTTTTTTTTAATTTGAAATTAAAAAAATTTTTTTTCCATTTATTTGTCATGTCATAAACACGAATCAAATCAAATCATCATCATTATTATTATCATTGTGATGGCTATTTGGTCATAATAGGTTTTTATTTTATTTCTGCATTTCATTTCCGAAATTCATACAAAAACTTCTCTCTCTTTTTTTTTGTTTTTTTCTTCATTTCTTGTATTTTTATTTTATTTTTTTTTTGTTTGTTTGGTTGATCAAAACAAATATTGTTGTTGTTGTTGCAACTGACCCGTTGGTGGACATGGACATGGACATTTTTTTTCATTTCTGATCCAATATAATTTGAACAAAACAAAACAAAACAAAAAAAAAATCCGGAGAGATAGTTCCATACGTTGAACTTTATTTTAATTCATATCCGTTTCAATTTTTGTTGTTGTTGTTGTTGTTGTTACTTTTGAATTTAAAATTTCAAATGTTCCTTATTATTGTCACTTGCTTGATTTTGCATGGTAATGATGATGAAAAAAAAACAAAAAAGACTTAACACTTGACATGATGATGATGATGACAGTGGTTCAATCAAGTTTTACAATCGACAACAATTATAATATGTAATCGGAAATTGTATTGCAAAGGGGAAAAAAATTTTTTGTTTGCTTCTCTCACACAATTAGAAAACAAAATTTCAAAATCAAACTTATATTCATATTCATATTCATATTCATATATTATATATTAATCGATTGATGATCATAGCTATTGTCATCATCGTTAGTAATGAATGATTAATCATTCGATGCATCCAATCACATGTGTGATTTGAAAAAAACAAAACAAAACAACAGATTATTTGAAAAAGAAAAAGAAAAATCCATCTGAGATGATTGTAGAAATCGAAATCGGTTTAGCATCATCGAGAGATGCAAACAAAATTGGATGAATCCTTTATATTCAACTTTTTTTTTCATTGTACATTTTGTATCAAATCTCATTTTTGTTTGTTTGATGAGATTACTCAATTAACCGTGAACATGCACACACACACACAGAACCAAACACGAAAAAAAACGGCCAAAAAAAGAAAATCCATCTTTTGCACGGATAATTTTCAATTTTTAAACAACAACAACAACGAAAATTCAATTTTCCTTCACACAAAATTCACTCAATTCACAAACTAAAAAAAAAATGAAAAATACAAAGAATATTAACAAAATTCATTCAAACTTTTATTTTATTATTCAATCGATCGATCGTTCGATCTTTCGATCGTTTGATCGTCCAAATATATAATACGATTATAATCCGAATATATATATGAACAGAAAATAACCCCAGACATACATACATACATACACTATGAATGACTGAATGAATGAATTCTAAATTTAGCTCAAATAAAGTAAAAAAAAAAAAAAAAAAATGAAATGAAATGAAAATGATGATGATGATGATCACAAATGTAAATACATAGTGAAACAAACAAACAAACAACAAACAAACGAAGAAAAAAAAATCAAATTTTCTTTTCATTTTTTTTTTGTCAAACAAATAATATGTAATCACACATCATAAGAGTATATATATACTACACATAAACATTCACATATATATATCCGATGGACATTGGCCAATATAACACTTTCAACAACGAAAAAAAAAAATTTTTCGGAAATAGAAACGAAAATGAAAAATTAAAGTTTTGTCATACAAGTGACGAATCGTGAAAAAATATTATGAAAAAAAAAAAATTTTTTTCTTTCTTCGTATGTATAGCCATTGTTTTTTTTCTCGTACCTTTTTTTACACTACAGAGAGGATCAATCCATCGATCAATCGAAAAATGAAAATGTTCAACATCGTCATATATGAGATAGAGTAGAGAGAGGAGAAAAAATTGATGAAAAATCAAACTATCGAATACTCATCATATACAAACAATCGAAATGCCCGTATGATGATGATGATGATGATGATTAACTCTGTTAATAGTGGACAAAAAAAATCAGGAACAAAAAAAAAACACAAGATAGACAACACTTTCTCCACATCATCATCAATACCACCGCCACCAGTGTGTGTCTACTAACATCACTATTCTCATCATCATCATGTCTAAAACTGACAAATTTTTTTTTACTTCATTTTCCAATGAATCATCATTATTGACTATATAGATTCAAACAAAAATAAAAAAGGGGGAGACGAATGCGAAAACCAAAAAAAAAAAAACGAAAGAAATAAATAAAAAAATTGTCTAAAACATCATAATCAAAACGGTAGTTGATGATAAATGACTGATTGAGTAAATTAGAATCATCGACAACAACAACAACGGCAACAATCTGATGAGAAAATTTTTGACTATTGAATGGCAATTTTTCTTTTCTTTTCCATCATGATCTTTTCGGATAAAACGATTGATTAGATCGATGCATCGTTTATCGAGCTAAAGTTTTTTCTTTTTCTTTTCTTTTTTTTGGTTTTTGTAATTACATAATCGGATATAATAATAATATCCGCAGTGAAAATTTTCGTTAAGAACAAAGTGAAAAATAGCCATCATCATCATCATCATTATCATATATTCGTTAAAATATGATATGATCATATATAATATTTCCATGTGATGATGACAAGATATTTGACCACAATGAGTAAACGAAAAACGTGCATTTTGCTATTCACGATAGTTTTTGTTGAATAAATGAATAAAATGAATGAATGAATGAATGAACATGTAAATGAAAACACACACACACCTCCATCGATTATGATTACAATCGATTTTTTACAAGTAAAAAATGAAAAAAAAGGCAAAAGAAGAATTGTTTATTCAATATGATTTGAATTATTTTCAATATATATACACATATTGACATGTTTGAATCAATCAATCAATCAATCAATAATAAATTTTATTTTTCTTTTCAAGTTTTTTTTAACAAAAATTTTTCCTCTTTATCCACATATACATTACACATAGCATAGCATAGTGATATCAAGATTTGTGTGACAAGGCAGCGATAATTGATGATAATATCAATCAATATGTAAGCATGAAATATTGTAATAGATTTATTCATTTTACAGATTGTTAGTTGAAAACAAAAATTAAGCCAAAAAATGTTCATGATAATAATAATACTTGATGATTAAATTTAAATTTAAATTTGAGATATGAAATTGGACTAAGTAAGTATGGTTTTGTTTGTTTGTTTACTTGTTTGTTATCGGATTTAGTGGTCCAAATGGCACGATTCATTCAATATTGGAACGTTCATTTGATTTGTGGAAAAATTTTCCATTAAAAAATTCCTTCTCAATGTCATCGAATATCTCGACCAATATAGTGGCTATTTTTTCCAATTCTTGGCTAGTTAATAATGAATTAATAATCAAACGTATACTTGGATTTGGAAGTTTATGTTCAGCACGTTCAAGATAACGAGCAACGGTCAAACCATAACCACGATTGTATGCCTAAATAATTGATGTGAAAAGAAATGAAAAAAAAAATTTTTTTTAATAATAATTGTTATACATACATAATCGACAATTTTTTCCAATCGCATAGTATCCAATCGATAATGAGTGGAAATACTATTTTGGCTATTATTTGCCATTAAATTATCGATCTGTTCCATATAATCAGGACATCGTTCATCGTCAAGCCATTCATCAATAGTTCGTGTATAACGAAGATGTTTGATAGGCGAGATATCCAATCCACCAACAGTGATCAATGATCGATATGAACGTAATAATTCATCCATTCGTTTACAATTATCACGTAATTGAACCAATGTTTCAGGTGATTTTTGTATCTTTTCAATAGCTTTTAAAGCATATGCTGCTTGCAATGGTGGTAATGATGCACTGAAACAATAACCTAAACCAGAAAGACGTTGATGATCGATAACAAATATAGTACCAGTACAAAAACCCCCATATGAAGCACATGCATATTCAAGACTAGCGGCAATCATGTCCACATCATCTAAACTGCAACCACTGTGTTCAACAATACCACGACCATTTTTGCCAAGTACACCAAATGCACAGGTATCATCGATGAATAAACGAACTTTATGTTTGCGTTTTAATTCAATCTGAAACAAAAACAATATGTAAAAATGTAAAATGTCGACCCATATTTCTTCTCATCAATCCACAGTAGATTATAACACTTACGATTTTAGCCAATGGACAAATATCACCAGCATTAATGTATAAACCTTCAACGACCATAAAACGTGAGATTCTTTTTGCTTCTTTAGGATTTTTTAAATCCCATTTTAATTGTTCATCCAATAATCGTTCTAAATCATCCATATCATTATGTTTGAAAAATTCAATTCGAGATCGAGATGCAATGAGACCTTGTTGAACAGCAAAACTGACAGCCTCATCGCTGAAATTTTTTTTTTTTTTTTTGTTTAAAAAATTTATCGAATCAATCATCAAATGAAACTTACGCAAAAATGACATCATTCGATTTTGAATAGGCTGGAATGGCACTTGAAATGGCAGCATAACCATATGAATAAAGTATTGCTTCTTCGGTTTGCATGAAACGAGCAATTTCTTGTTCCAATTTTAGATGAATATCTAGAAATTTTGAATAAAAGTTTTTAAAAAAAATTAAATAAATAATCAAACATCAAACACTATTATTCATACCAACAGTGCCGAAAAATCCACGTGGACCACAACTGCCAACACCATATTTTTTTACAGCTTTCACAGCCTCATCAATACAATCACGATCTTCGGCCAAACCAAGATAATTATGTGTAGCCAGATTCAAACATTTTTTACCATCAACAATCAAATATTTTCCATACATTGAAGATATGATTCTTGGATTTAAGGCAAAATGATTATGATCATAATCCGGTACTAATGGTTCTGGTTGCCATGATTGTATTTTTTCGAGTTCCTATAATTTGTTGTTGTTTTTAAATGAAACAAAAACAAAAATACAAATTATCCATCCATCACATTATATTTAGCTTATTATGAACATAGAATACCTCAGCTGTCAATTGACGATCCTGATGACGATGACGTTTTGAATTTGAACGATACCAAAACCAATACCATGTTACAATGGCAATGGCTAATGCTTGAATTATCAAGAAAAATGGTGTTGTTTCGATTAATTTCTGTAATGATACCGGACCAGGCATTGTATTTTTTTTTTGTACTTCGATTTTTACAACTTGTTGGATCTGTAATAATATATAATATACAGACACTTTTTTTTAATAGTAAAATGATAATGATTATGAGAAAAAATGGCCACTAAACTTATTTACACACAAAAAATAATGACGATGGTCAAATTAACGTTAATTTTTCTCAGTTTTTTATCAAGATTTCCATCAGAATTTTCTACTGAATAACACACACACACATTCACACGATGATGTTGAATGACAACGCCGGCTTCAATAAGAAACGTAGCCAAATCACACACATACATGTAAATGCATATACAAAAAATAATACCGATTGATACTGATGTAAACATTTTGCCTCAAAATAGCATGATACCACAATCTTGCCATCTAGTGTTGTCGATTTGAATGATTGAATTTTATTAATTAATTTGACTTTAATTTTCAAATTTTTTTTTCTGATTGACACTATGATGTGAAATCAATTGAATAAATTTTTTTTTTTTAGTAACTGACGAGTGATAGAAAATATGCACCATATTTTTTTGTTTTGTTTTTGTTTTATTTTGATCATGTCATAGCCGTTGTATTTGTATTTGAATTCTGACCCTTGACGATCGAAACACGTCGTACTTCAATGTTAAGCAATGGAAACAGAAATCTGTAACAAACATACCAACCGATGAATGCCCATAACATTGCAAGTAATTTTTCTATAAGACTATGATAGAAAAATATTGTTTGCATCAGCATAAAATCCCATACAATTGACAATAATGTAATTGCCAAAAAAATTAATCGTAATTTTCGACTATGAGATCGATAACGTGACCAAGATAGATATAATTTTCGATTCATTTCGATATTATTAGTTAATGTTGGTGATTGTGATCCAATCACAATGTTCATAAATTCAACACTTAATGCATAAAGACGATCACCAAGTGGTTCCCAGCCAGTCATTATTGTACATTCTTCAATTATCATTAGATTGGAAAAGATCAATATATAAACATGGCCAGATATATCAAAACCACCAGTAGTTGTTACATTCACCTGTGATACGGTAGCCAATTCTGTTATTTACATAATATTAAAAAAAAATTTACACAAAAAATTAAATGAGAAAAAATTCAAAAAAATCACACTTGCCATTTGATAATAATCGATTACGAGTTGTAGTTGAAAATTGTATCATAGCAAATATTGAAATAGAAGCCAAATAAAATCCACTGCAAATTATAAAACGAATCATATCTTTCACCATGGCAATTTGAATAATTTTTTGTGCCGAATATCCAAACCATCTTAATGAAAATCGTTGACATTGTTGACATTGATCAGCCTGTGCCAGTATTGCTTGTTGATATTGTTCAATCAACAATTGTGATTGATTCTGATTTTGACTTGATGATTGTAATGTGATAATCTGTGATGTTTGTTTCGTACCAGTTCCATTTGTTTGTAACGATGAATTTTGTGATGTAGTTTTCGTGCTGCTACCACCACCAACACCCATCAATGGCGTATTAGTTTTACGTTCATGATAATCTTCAATTGATTTATCCACATCGGTCAATTGTATTGAATCAAGTAGGTATAATGTTGAACTTGATAAAATGATCAATGGTACTAAAAGAATTGTATTCCAAAACCAAGCCAATTTTACAAAATATCGATTTAGAAAATGTTCAGATGACAAAGAGAATACAAGTGCACGAATTATCAGCGAAGCAAAATCCTTTAAAAGGCCACCAATGAATATGAGGAATAGATAAATGATCATTCGTCGCTGTAATAATGAACGATTTGTTACCTGGCGACATAGACCTATTGAAAACAATTAGTTTTATTTCAAATTGAAATTTATTTATCTATTTTTTACTTACTCATTAAAATGAGACTAACAACATGTATAAATTCGGTGGATGCATTGAAAATTTTTCGTCGTCGAAATGTTTCAATACCAGTCGAATTCTGAGCTAATGAATCCGATCGTTGTTGTCTTGAACGTGCCCATGTGACCGATGTATTGGAGAATTTAAGCCAATTATTTCCATTATTAAAACCTGATAATGATGACGATGATGATGATGATGATGATGATGAAGATGAATATGCAGACGTACGATGTGAACGATTTGTTCGTCTACTCATTCTTTGAATCGTATTCCACTTTTTATGGTATCCAAAATCTCAGTAGATTGACAATAATGATACAAAGAAAAAAAATCGAATAATCAAAATCCGTATCGATCTGATTTACATGATTATTATGATCAATAGAATATTGAGCATAGATTTTTCATCGTCGACATCGTCGTCGTCATTGTTGTTGTTGTTGTTGTTATTATTATTATTATTGTCGTCGAAATTGTAGCATCAAATTATGTGGTGGATGAGTTGTGAGCTAAAAATAGCCAACCAAGATCACTATGATGATTATGATGATGATGTAGCTGTAGAAAGAATGGTGAAAAATTCATTCTTCACATTTTCATGTAATAAATGAATATATATTTCTATTTCAAATTTAGAATTTTAGAAAAAACAAAGTTGTATCTTAAATTGAAAAATTAATTGGGCCATTTCTGAATTTTTTTTTGTTACAAATACGTTGTATATGAACGTATTACCATTCGGAAGCCAAACGTTCGAATTTATGAATCATGCTCGATTGGTTTCATTTCATTCGTTTCAAATATCAAACTTGCTTCGTTTGTTTTTTTTTAATTGTTGTTGTTCACTCTCTTTTTCTCTCTGTATTTTTTTTTCGTTTGTTCATAATCAAAACCAGAACCACAATTCAATCATTTGCAATCGATTCATTCATCATATTAATAACTTGTTGTTTGTTTAATGATGGAAAATTCAACTATAACCACCATTAATAACAATGTTATTATTGCGGAGACAACTACAGATTTGATAACGATTGATGAAATGGAAAAGCCAGATTGTTCGTTGAAACTAACATGGCATTTTTTTTATTACATTTTTAAAACAGGGAAAATATGAAAGGGAATAAAAACTTGTTGCTATTGTATTTGTTCCTATTTCATATTTTGGCTTTTTAAAAATGATGAATATGCCCGAATGGCAATCATTCGTTTTTGTTTGTCAATATTCCCATTAATATTGATCACATCAATGAAAAAAAAATCGTCATTCAATTGGCAATCGGTAATCTTCATAATGTAATTCTTTAATCGATTTCTCTTTTTTTTCTCTCTTTTAATTTTTTGATTTCAATATATATATATATATAGCACTACTGGGCATTTATATATTTTTAACACTTGTCATTTTTATCATCATTTTGTTGATATTCTCCATCATTTGTAATCGAGGTGAGTTTTAACTCTTATTTCTTTTTTTTTATATTTAAACCTGTTGCACATAAAACATCTTAATTGATTTTTTTCTGTACACACATTTTTTTTCATTTGTTTGTACAAATAAATTTTTAATAGCATCAAAAACTACAACGCCATTAAAACAAATATCAGCTATGGAAGAACATTGGCAACTACGTCAATTTGTCATTGATGATCATGATGATGATAATGATGATGAACAACAACAAGATATTGAGGAAATTATATCCGAAACATCGGCTATTCATTTTATGGGTGCACCATGTTCAACACAAAATGGCGGTATTATCAAATGTTCAAAATCTAAATGTCAACATATGATGAACATTAAAAATGAACGGCAAAAACGACAAAAACAAAATTCAAAACATGTTTCTTTTGTTCGAAAACCAAAAGTGATCATTGTTTATAATGATGAAAATCCTTGTCCAACAAACAACTCACAGATTGAAACACGTAAATCATCGTTAACCAATAATTCAAACATGAAAAATTTGACAGACAATGATGTTTTTGGTGATGTTGGCAATCAAAAACGTTTAGAATCGATTATTGATGGTAATATAATCGAGGAAATTGATAATCTTATGGAATGTTCATATAATCGAATCAGTAGCTATTTAAAATGTCAAGAAGAGCTCAAACAACTTGCACAGGATTTATCGGATAATGATGATGATGATGATGAAAAATCCAGATCATCAATTATTAATGTTCCAAATGGTTATGATGGCATTTATAGAAATTTCGATATTTGAAACCCAATGTCAAGGCTGTATTTCATTTTTTGGATAAATACGTGGTTATTGCCAATTCCAAATATAATTATTCATTGATATTTATATTTTATATATTGATTTTGCATTGAAAACAAGAAAATTATTCCAGTTTATTTATTATTTGTTGAAAACTTGAGATAATCAAAAAAAAAAAAATAAAAATAAAAATGAAATTCAAAATTCAATATTGTCATTTTCTTTCACTAGATGGTAGTTTTGGCCAATGTTTTGATGGGTTGTTGCTCGCCGACTTTAATTTCATTTTTTTTTGTGTTTGTTTCTTATGGATTTCCTTGATTCTGATTTTCGTTTGTTTATGTTTGTGATATTGAAATTTTCTTACATTCAAATTTATGGGACAAAATAAATCACGTCCGGCAAATATCGATGATGCCGGTGGCTATGGTTTCAGCCAGGATGGTACATTTGGTGTTGTAAACAACGATAATAATACACAGATGAAACCTAAATTCAGGTTAGTTTTTTTTTGCACAGTTTACAATTTTGATTTTAATTTTGATTTCTATTTCTATAATAGACATCCATGGGCCGTTACTTTTCATCTAATATTCAAGATTGCAGCAATATTCATTTATTTATTTGGTTCAATATTTGCACAAGAATTTCTCGGACTATTCGTTATTCTCGTATTTTTGATCTCAATGGATTTTTGGATTGTAAAAAATGTTACCGGTCGTTTATTGGTTGGCCTTCGTTGGTGGAATTATATTGATGACGATGGTCATTCGCATTGGATGTTTGAAAATCGTAAACAATCACAATCGAAAAATGTTAATACGAATTTACAAAAGCAAGGTACATCTAATGATGTTGAATTCATATTATTCAATCAACAACAACAACAGCAACAGCAACAATCCAATGAATCACAATCACAAAGGCCAAGTGGTGGTTCAGATTCAACCGTTTTCTGGATTGGACTATTTTTGTTCACTATATTCTGGTTCTTTTCACTTATATCAGCAATATTTTCATTCAACATTCATTGGGTGGTAATGTTATTGATTTTTGTTTCTACAACAATTTTTAATTTCATTTTCAGCTTTTAGTTAGTATCGGATTTGTATTAAGTGGTTCAAATTCCTATGGCTATATTCGTTGCCGTTTTGGTGGTGGTGGTGGTGGTGATGGTGATGGTGATACTAATCCAGTAACAATGGCCAGTAATTATACTAGTTCAATGTTTAGTCAATATGTAGGACCAAAAATGTTGTTCAATGTAAGACCGATTTCTAATGAAAATCAGAATACCAGTCTAATAATCGATAATTACATTTTATTAAATAGATGATGCGTAATGCCGCTACAACTAACACGACGACATCAACATCAACTTCACAACAAAATACATCGCAATCCAATACAATTGCAAAATAATTTGATTTCCTAAAAATTTTTTTCTGTATTTAACAAAGAAGTGAAAACATCAAATTCCAATTGTTTTTTTTATTTTCTTAATAATTAAAAATTCAAATGAAAAAAAACCGATTAAAAAAAAAAAAAAATTTCAATTCAATTTGCGTGTAGAAAAGAAAAATTTCAACTAAAAAAAAGCGATTAGCCAAAAAAACAAACAAACATGAATTGAAAATCAATCAAATGATGAATGTTTGCAATCCGAATAACGAACTGATTCAATCCAAAATCAATTGACCACAGACTAACGGACAATATAATTTTCATTATGAACACGATATAGATAACCACATCTTGCTGCATCTTGTCTTACATCATGAAAATAGATAAATGTTGTCATCATTAATATCATAGCTATAAATAGATCCAATACCATGATGGCAATCATTGATGTTTCTTTCATATTGATAGCTGTTTCAAAAGATTCTTGATCATTTGAATACCATGAACCAGATGAACCGATAATCTTACAGCAAATTGTTCTATTTGATGATGAACATGGACGTTGATATGCAACATATGATGCATATAATGTCGATATGCTTACAATGAATACTATGATTATTGACTGGAGATTAAAAAATGAAATGAAAATGAAATGAAAATGATATGAGATAACAAAAGAAAAAAAAATTTGATACTTACAATAAAATGAAAAAAATATTTAAGATCAACATCTTTTTTAGGCACAAAATCAACATAACAATAAATAATAATCAATAGAATACATAATAATGATATTGAATGAAGAATATTTAGTTTTAGATAAAAACGACCTATCAAATGATTGATCATTTGTTCTTGTTCATTTTGATCGGTGATCATCATTATTTGAAAACTTTGAACTTTCCATTCCGAAGTGATTGGTTGTTGTGTACATTTTTGCAACATCGATATCGATATGGATGCTATTATCATTAGCTGTTAATTCATAATGATTCAATGTGATCAATGAAAATTAAATATTGAATGAATAATGATATTTTGCTTACCATCATTAATGGTCCAATTATTCTATAGTACAATACACGTTTTGGAAATGAACTTTTTGTTGCCATTTTTTTCATTTGTAATCGTTGTGATGAAATTGTAGTTGATCGTTGTCTTGGTGCTGATGGTGGTGATGGTGATGATGATGATGATGTTGATGTTGTTGGCGATTTAATCAGATTAATTAGTTGACTATTATAAATGCCATTTCTGCCACCACTCTCTCCACTACTGCTGCTACTACTACTACTACTACTGCTGTGGTTACTTCCGTTTTGGCTACCACTTGAATTTGATGGCTGATTTTGATGGTTAATTTCAGCTGAAACAAAAGAAAAACATGATTGAAATCAAACAAACAAAGAAACAAAATCCAAAGAATTTTATAATTGAAAACGTGAATGTTTTTTTTTTGGGTATCTATACCTTGATGTACGTTGGTTGGTAGAGGAATACAATATGGTCGGAAAGAATTCAAATCAAATTGAATCATTTGAAAATTGTTAATATATAAATTTATTCGTGATAAACTGTTTCTTCTGGAAAAAAAATAAAAAATAGAATCATAAAATGGAAATGAATTGTGAAATTTATAATCAAAATGACATTCTGTAGACGAGCAGACAGAGAGAAAGAGAAAAAACGGTTTTTTTGCTTATAAAAACAAAATTTTCAAACAAAATTAAAGTGAAAAAAGAGAACCGAAAAAGAATTTGATACCAATGCTGTGAATTGGGAGGAGGAATGACATCAACAGCAACAACAACAACAACAACAACGACAATAAATGAGATGTATCGATGAGAGATCATTTATGGTTATGTGATCGAATCAGATTGAATTCCGATCAAATCCAACGGATTGATTGATTTCAAAGAAAAAAATTCGATGTGTCTGTGGGTTTGTTTGTTTGTTTTTTTTACTTTTACTTCAAAATAATTATAACACATAAAGTTTATGATGATGATGATGATTCTGACTAATCCAATAAGATAAATTTATTCAAGTTTGAATTGTGAAACCAGAAATGAATCATTCGCCTTGTCTGGCTAAAGTTTGTATCAATGGGAATGAAATGATGAAAAATTCAAATTGAATAAAATGAATGAAATTTTTGTTTTGTTTTGTTCTGTTGTGTCGTATATGTTGATCACATCTATATATCCACCTCTCTCTCTCTCTCTCTCTCTCGTGGCGCCATTCAATTCATTTACGGTTGATGTACTGAAAAAAAAACTTGGCATCTACATCAAAAAATTCAGATCATGTTTATCTTTGGACATTATATCAAAAAAAAAAAATTCTTTGAAAAATTTGTCACATTCTCATGCATATGGTCAACTAGTCTAATCATCATCATTATCATTGTTGATTTGTATTGTATTTTATCTTTGTTTATCATCATTATCGATCATTATCGATTATCATCACCAATGTTTGTAGTGTATATTTTCAGTGCTGTATATCATCAGCATCTATTATGAAGCAGAAAAAACTTACTTTACTCTCTCTCTCTATGTGTTTGGTTGAATCATTGATTGGCAACACACATTTATTTGGTTCGTCGCCATCAGTCGTGTGTGTGTGTGTGTGTGTGAGTGTTTGAATATCGCAATGTCTGAGTTTAAGTTTTTTTTCATTTTATTTTGAAAAATTCTTTTCTAAAATGACAGCTCTTAATTCTGTTTCTGTGCTGGTGCTGGTGCTGCTGCTGCTGCTGCTGCTGTTGATGTTGATGATCTGAAATATTTAAATAAACAAAAAATAAATAAATAAATAAAATCTTGCTATTAAATAAATTTTAAACGGGAGGATCACCACCACCACCACCACCACCACCAAAAAAAAAGATGTGTTTGTGAATAGTTTTTTTTTTTCCAGGCCAGAATGAGAAAAAAAAATATTCTATAATGTATCATTACATTTCAATCCATAGAATCTGATTGAAAAAAAGATAAGATCAGAATGAATATTCGAATGATTTGAATTATTCATTCATTCATTCATTCAATCACCAAAATGTCCATTTTGTTACAAAATTTCAAAGAAAAAACAACAACAACAACAACAAAGTTCAAATGTTTCAATCAATTTTTAGACACCGGAATGATGATGATGATGATGATGGATGGATGGATGGAATGAATTTCATTTTGAGCCAATTGTGTTTTTCTCACTACAATCTTAATTTTCCGATATATTCATTTTTTGTTCATTTCTCATATCTTAGTGTCTATATGAATGAATAAATTATGGCTGAAAACAAGGTAGGTGTGTGTTTGTGTGTGTGAGTGCAACGGAATCAGTAAAAAAAAAGAAGAAAAACTTTTGAATTATTCAAGTTTCAAAATAATAAAATAAGAAAGTTGTTTGAGAAAGTTATTTATTGCATAAATGAACAAAACAAAATAGGATTAAACACACGAAAGATAATTTTGACCGGTTTTTGTTTGGTGGATTGTTGATGATGAAGATTTTTTTTTTTTGGCGTTCCTACTCGTTGATATGAACATCGGAAATAAAAATTGTAATAATTCCGTGCATTCATTGTAATTCTATTCTAAATGCTAATGATGATTTTTTTAAACAAATCAAAACTTTCAAAAAAAAAGATATTTCATTTGTTGTTGTTGTTGTTGTTTTTTTTTCTCTCTCTCTCTCTCTCTCATTTAAAGTAAATAACAATTCCCATTACAAGTGATAATGATACAGTTACAATGTTATACAATATACAAGTGTTTTGGATTTCGGCAATCATTTGAATCCAATGATTGTTGTAAATGTAATTAACAAAATAATAAAAAAAAAAAATTACATTCGGACGTGCAACGGAAAAACAGTGTTACTAAAAACTATGTGATGATGTCGTAGAATACTGAAAAAAAATTATTAGATTCTTGTTGCCTTTAGCATGACTAACAGCAAAAAAAAATAAATGAATCATTCGTTCTTGTTGAATATTCTGTTCGTTTGGTTGGTTGGTTAGTTGTTGAATAATTTAACATTAGAAAAGTATATAGAAAGAGAAAATTTAGATTGAATACAAAAAAAAATATTTCAACAATTTCTCATTCTTTTCATAGTTTTTTTTTCTTGATTTAAAATCCAAACAAGAAAAAGAAATTGAGAGAGAGAGAGATAGAGATCAAGATGCGAATGTTTGTATAATATGGATGCAAACAGTCTTAGATCATAATGGATACATAGTATTTTTTTCTTTTATTTTCTTTAAATCAATCGAGATTCTGTTTTATTTTTTTGTTTCTACACAGAATTTGATTGACATTTTTGTCATATGTTTTTCTCTCTCTCTCTCTCTTTCTCTCTGTGTGTGTGTGTTTGTGTGTTTGTTTCTGTAATTGTATGTATTTGTCATTCTCATTTGTATATTGCATCCACATGACTATTTTTCGTGTATGATGATGATGATGAGTCAAGCTTGAATAAAGAAAAAAAATTTATCGAGAAACCAAACACAAAAACCATGCATTCAAGAAAATTAATTTATCAAAATCTCATCATCATCATCATCATCATCATCATCATAGTTGTCAAGGTTAAAGAGAAAAAAAAATCAAAAATCTTCACTGCTAGTGGTGCCATCGATCGGTAGTATAAAAATTAATGTTTTTTTATTCATTTATTTTTAAATAGTAAAATTCAATCAACATTTTGTTGCATCCAAAGCGGTCATTAACCGAACAAACACTTGACGATGGAATTTGAGAAAAAAAGAACGTTGAAATTGATTATTGTGAATGGAAAATAAAAATACACATTAACAGTTTGTCGTCACAATTAGTGAAATGAACAAATGCTTAAAATTTCAAGAATGGATTTTAAAATGAAAAAAAAATCGCAATTTTTTTTTGGCGAAAAAAAAGAAACATGGAAATGTCAATGGAAATGTTTTAAGAAGTTTTAATCGTTCCAATAATAATCGCATTTCAAGTGTAATAAGAAAGGAATTTAAAGGCTGATAATGGATTTAGAATATTCACATCGTTTTTTTTCCTTTTGCTGGAAACAAAATCAAAAGTACAAAAGAATTTGATGTACGGATAAAATGGATGATTTTGTAAGATTTTTTTTTTGTTATGCCAATTATATTTTGAATGTTTTAATCATCATTTTTTTATTGTTTAAAAATTTTTTTTTTTTTTAAAAAGACAATTTATGATGCTAATTGTTATTATCATTTGATTCCGAATAAAATGGCTATAAATTCTCAAGAAATTGTTAATAAATAAAAATTTTATCCATTTTGATTGATTATGGTGAAAAACCAGGAAAACAAAATATCTACAAATAGATATTGAAATTATTAACCGGAATAATGGGCAACAACAACAACAACAAAAAAAATTGCGCGGAAATCATTGACATTCTAGAAAAGTTTGAAGATAGTACAAAAAAACCGACATACAGACAATCTTTCAAAACAAAAATTCAACTTTCTACCATTATTTTTTATATATAAGAAATTTGATTACATATGAAAAAAAAAAAAAAATTCTTTAACGATGTTGTTGTTTATCTGTACGATAAAAGTGCGAATATATATATATATGATTGAATCAAACAATCAAACAAACAAATAGAATTTTGCAACTTGGAAACGATAATAATAATAATAAAATTGGAAATTCAAACACACACGCACCATTGTGAATTGAAAATAAAAAATAAAAAAAAAGTTGAATCAAATTAAATGCCTGTACGAGTGCTGTATGTAGAGCAATTTCTCTGCCACTTTTGTTGTTGTTGTTGTTCTTGTTTACACAATTTAGTTTTGTTTAGTTTCAATGAAAAAAAAACAGGAGAAAACGAGCTAATTTTGTTGTAGAATGTATTGTATTATTTCTGATGTATAAAAATAATGTTTGTTTGCCATCCAAAAGTTATCAAATAAATTGATGACAATGATGTTTATGATGATGATGATGATGTGAAAAATTGAATTGGAAAAAAAATCAACCCAAAATAAATATAAATAAATATATAAACAACACCAACACTGACACCGACACGAATAACAACAACAACAAAAACAACAACAACAACAACAAAAAACAACAACAACAAAAACAACAACAACAGAAAATAATATCAAAGTTTCAAGTCAAATTGTTTTTTATTTCATCTTCTTTATTTATTAGTAATACACACACGCACAAACACACATACAGTGGAACAAAAAAAAAAAAAAAAAAATACAATCAAACAGAAATATTATTAGAAAAAAAAAACAAAATGAAATTGGAAAACAAAAACCATGAACAAACAAAAACAAAAATTGTTTAATCATGAATATAATATATAATATAATGGTATAGAATAATAGAATCAGAATCAGGTTTGAAAAACAAAGATGGAAAAAAAATTGAATTTGGAAATTTTTTTTTAGTTGTTTGTTGTTGTTGTTGTCAAAATTTATTGAATTATGATTGGTCATTTTTTGAAGATGATAAAAGTTACTTTTTTTAGTCCATATATTTGTTTGCGGGTGTGTCAATGTGTAAGTGAGTGTGTGTGGTGGATGATACAATATACACATCAAATTTCATAAAAAATAATTGTTTCTTTATTTATTATTATTGATAAATGACATTTGTGTGTTTGTGTCTGTGTATGTTTGTGATGGTAATATTCCAGAATTTTCGATTGTCAATTGATGATGATGGGTGTGATGTTTGTTGTTGTTGTTGTTGTTGTGAATAAGAAGAGATAGAAAAATATACTGTAGGTAAGACTGTTGTTTAGTTGGAAGTGTATTTTTATTTTTGTTTTTTTTTTTTTTTTTTTTGGTTTGTTTACACTAATTTATTTCATTTCTTAGAAATCATTATTAAATTGGTTTTGTTTTAATGATGGAAAGAAGAAAAGAAGGAAAGAAAATGAATCGATAAAATGAAGACCAATGACCGATGTAACCATAAATCCGGGTACTTAAATTGGATATCATTAATTAAATACAGGATTGAACTGGTTTTTTTTGGAAAATTGAAATTACCGGTGCACAAACATTAAAGCATATACAGATAAAGGTAAGATCTTGTTGCTTATTTAAAGTGAAAAGAAATAAAATTGACAAGAACGTTTGTTTTTCCTGGTTTTTTTTTTTTTTTTTTTTTTTTGATTACTTTGGTTTCACATTTTGATCATATAAAAAATAAACTTTGTCTCTGTTTCTATGTGTGTGTGTGTGTGTGTGTGTGTTTGAAAACGACGACGACGACAATGATGATAATGATGATGATGATGGGATAAATCTAGAAATTAATAATATCAATTTTGTCAAGTTCAATATGAAGTGTTTATTCACTGCAATAATATAAAGCTAACGACCAAACAAACAAACAAACAATGAGGTTTTTGTCAATTTGAATATTTTTTTTTTCAAGTACAAAGTAAGTTCATCTTTTTATGGATGGTAATTGATTGAATAAAATTTTTGTTGATCAAAATTTTCAATAGTGTGTGTGTGTGTGTGTGTGTGTGTGTGTGTGTGTGTGTGGATGGAAAGATAGATTGGTTTTATGATTACAAAATAAAAAGAAAACAAATAGGATTCTTAGGAAGTTATTGGTGATTTAGTGTCACAATGAATCTTATCAGAATGTGTATGTGATAAGGTTTGAAAGATTTGAATTTGGAATTTTTTTATTTTTTGAATTCATTTTGGATAAACAAAAACCAAAACCAGGAAAATAAAAGATGAATCAGAAGAAAATGGTAGGGAAAAAGAAACGAATGGCCACTTCCATCCAGATCATGATTATGGAATGATGATGATAATGGTGATGGTGATGATGATAATGTTTGTAAATGAATCAAATCCAAATCAAAGTGTTTTTTTTTGGTGATCAAATTCTGTTCAACTAATTCCATGAAAAGAAAAAGACAAAATAAGAATTTAAAGTATTGTTCACTATGATCAATGTTGTTTAAAATAACTGAAAATGATAAGAATAAAAAAAAAATAAAAATAATTACAGATTCTGTTGACCACGAGCCCATTGTAGCAGATAATCGGCTAATACATCCAAATGTGCTTTTGTCTGTTTGATTAATTTATTAATGAGAAAATAATTTGAAAGCAATGAATTTCTATGTTCATTTGGATGAAAATTATTGATTACTTACACTTTTATAAAACATACAACTCAATCGTTCTTCATCTTCACCATGAGGACAATCAAAATAGCCATCGCATATATGTTGATCATCGATACATAAAAATCGGCCCAATTCATCACGCGTTGGACAAGCAAAACGATCCATTCCATTTTCTGAACTTGGACATTCTATTGATTGATCGATAAACAAACAAAAAAAACCAGAAGAAAAAAAAACAAAGATAAAAATGATGATGGCCAATCTTCTTTAAACTTTTTACAAGTTAAATTTACTCATTTTATTCATGCAATTTCTCTCTCTCTCTCTCTCTCTTTTATTTTGTTTAAATTGGATAATTGAATTTAATCGAACAATTCAATTCAATCAATATTTATTGGTTTAGAAAATGAAATTTAACATTTGAATAAAAATAATGGAAAAACAAAAAAAAAAAAAAAAAACAAACTTGATGATAATCAAGTTATAGAGCTTATGGAGACAAATGGACGGCCATTTTTTGAATTCTGGGAAACCACAACAAAGTGGACAACTTTATCTATTTATTCTTTAGAAACTATGTTTTCATCTTGCTCATCATCATGATCATCGATGGTTATTATGATGGCAAAATGAACAAAAAAAAACAATAACAACAGAGAATAATAGCATTAAAAACAAACAAACAAACACCGGAAAAAAATCGATCAAGTGAAAACATTATTATTATGTTGGCATTTGTGGAGATTTTTTTTTTTTTTTTTTGGCCAAACAGAAAAAATAGGTATTGTAATTTTTTTTTCGTTCCAATTTTATTTATTTATTGACCTGCCATTTATTGTTATATATAACCCTATAGTTTTTTTCCTCTTTTGTTTGTAATGTAATTTTATTATTATCAATATCATACACACACACACACACACAAACATGATCATCCAATATTAGATCGTAAATAACACCTTTATAGCCAAAACAAAATGGCCAAACACATAGCGATCCATCACATAGAAATGCAAACAAACAAAATTTCATTATGATGATAAATGTTTGATGTTGATGGTAATAAAAAAAAAAACACACACACACACATACACAGTATTATATTCTCAATTTTCTAACTAAAATTCACATATGCATTGTGTGTGTGTGTGCGTGGTTAAGTTACGGGCCGATGCTATTATTGAAAGCTAACTGTGAATAATGGAAACTTTCAAATAGAGTGCGATAAGCAAAAAAACAAACAAACAACAAAACAAAACAAAAACATGAAACAAATTTGCCTGTAATTGAAAATTAAGTGCATAAATGTCACAATGACATTTTTAAAACAATAAAACCGTTGTCAACATTTGTTGAAATTTCGCTGATTCAATATGAACAATGACGATAGGAAAAAAAAGAAACCGGTAAATTTACAATGAAAAAAACCGGAATTGAAAAAAAATTGATTCCGGTTATTTCAGAACATGTCACAGTCATCTGCTATTATTTGGTTTTATAATTACCTTGAAATTGCGACTATAAGACGCGTCTAATCTAGATTTATTTATTCTTTTGAAGTACTAGATTTATCATGTATTCATCTCATTAATATACGGTGATATTATCATTAATTTTTTTTTTGCTTTTGATTCTCATTATGATTAATATATATTCATAATCATTGTTCACACCCTCGTTGATGACGACCGGATGACCGGTTTTTTCCGCTGTCTATCATTGGTTTTGATCATGTTTTTTTTCCTTGAATTAATTAACTTATTATTATCATCAAAAAAAATATGAAATCACTAAATTCTATGGAATATTATCATTGAGCTAATTGATTTTTGTCATGAAAATTTTTTTTTATTTTTGCTTCTCCATATGAGAATCATTTTGATTCCAATAGATCATCGAAAATGTGGAGGAGGAGTTGTTGTTTGCCATGAATACATTCCATCATGAATATCAATAGAATAGGAAATAAAAATCCAATCCATATAATCAAATAATAACAATATTGATAAAGTTATTGCGAATATTACGAAAAAAAAAAAAATTTGGTATAGACGAGCCAACACCAATTCTTGTTATTATTATTATTATAAAATAACAAGCTCGAATAAAGACGAAACCGAAACCAAAAAAAAAAACGATACAGCCAACCAAACTATTATATTTGATTATCATAATGGATGTATGGATATTTCAAGTGGGAAAAAAAATTGAAAGATCAATACACAAACACTTTGAATGATAATGGATTACTTTTTTTTTTTTTTTTGGTTACTTTCGTAGACACGCAGACATCATATTATTGTTGTATAATAATAATAAGCTATATATGTCCATGACATTACTTATACTAAACATCTATATTGAATAGACTATTTTACCACAAAAAAAAACACTGATAAATAAACTTGAAACATATTCTAATAGTGGAACGGAAAAAATTCTCATATAGAAAAACATTATGATGAATGAATAGAATTGCGATGAGATTTTCACCAGAATTCATTCACATATCCAATGATGGATCAATCATCATCATCATCATCATCATCATTGTTACAACATTTTGACGATCCATTTTTACGTCATGAATCAAAATCCCATCAAATTGATGATAGAAAAAGATCAAATTATAATTAAGAATTGCAACTTTTTTTCGTTTTCTTCTATCTATTTATTGTGTGCCATTATGTGTGTATTGATGACATTTTCCAATTGATTCAATGGAAAAGAATTTCATTCCATCAATTATGTGTCTGTTTGTTTTTTTTTTTTTTGTTTGCCATTATTTATATATTCAAGTTTATAGTACATGAACATGAATGAAAAAAAAAGAGAAAATTCTCTTCAACGTTTCTGGAACATTAAATACTTGCACATTATTTTTGTTTTTCCCCATCCCCTCAAGAAAAAAGTGGAATAATTTTTTTATATTCAGATATTCATCATCTTTTAGATGATTCTATCATCACCCATTGTAAATACTCAACTAAATATTGAGCTATATTTAGATACACACACAATGTTTGTTTGATTAAATTATCATTGTTGCAACAACAACAACAAAAAAAACAGTGCATAAAAACTCTTGTTTTGTTTAATGTGATGGTTAATCACCATAAAAAAAATGAAATGATTCAAGAGACCAAATGATTTTTATTCTCATCATTCATGGAAAATTATTCCATTTGAAATATTCTATTATTAGAATCATTGAATAACATTAATTGAAATCCATGTTTTTTACTTTTGATATAAAAAAGAAAAAAAAATACATTTGTGTGTATGTGTATATATATGTGTGTGTGTGTGTTTGTTGTATAAGTGGAATTTTGAAATTGTAAATCATTTTATTCCATTCATTTGATGATGATGATGATGATGATGATGACTAATTCTAGGTAAAAGAAAAGAAAGTTTTTTTTCTGATTCCATACTACAGATAGATAGATAGATAGATAGATAAATAGTTCTCGTTGCTTCGATCGAAAAGATTAAATTTAAATCCTTCACATTTTCAATGTCTTCAAAAGAGGCCAGAGAAAAAAAAATAAAAAAATAAATCTCCATGTCGAAAGAATGTAGAAAAAAGGGATTAAAAATTAATCATCCGGAACTGGTCGACGTTCATCATAATCATCATCATGATGATAATGAATCAAAAGACAAAATAAATGAACACAGATTAAAGTGGAAAAAAATGTACAAAGTTCAGGTTAATGGAAAGAATAAATTCTTGAGAATTTTATCACATAATTCTTGTTTTGTTTTCAATCTTCTCATTTTTTCATTCTTTTTTTTTTTGAATTAATCTTTAGATTTCATAACAACATTGATACATTAATGAAAACAACAACAACAACAAAAATTAAATCAAAATCAGAAAGTTTATTTTTTGTTCTCCGCTACAACTTGATTAAAATGTCCAAACATTCATAATGAAAAAAATTTTTTTTTTGTTGAAAAATTTATTTCCGAAATCCATTACAGAATCAAACACTGCTAATAAATTTTTTTTCTCCCCACCCCATTAACTATTCTGGGATGGTCAGAAATTCAATGAATTTTTTGGGTGTGGATCCACTATTACTGCTACTATTGCTACTATTCAAATGTACATGGAACCATTATACTTAAATTTGTAATCCAACAGAATATTTGAGAAAAAAAAAACAAATTTGACTAACTCAAATATTCACCAATATTCATTTTGTTTCTTGTTTCGTTGGTTTGTTTGCGTATTCAACCGTTTTTTATTTTATTTTTCATATGAGGTTAATAAATAAATATGAATGAAACATAATGATTTTATATATAAAATGAATGAATGAATGAATGAGATGAAAACAAAAATGAATTGTATCTAAAAATAGAAACTTTGTTTTGTTTTTGGTTTTATTTTTGTTATTTTTATTTTTTTTTCTTTTTTTTTTTGCTTATGATTCTATAGATAGAATGGATAAGAGAATTGTATCGAATACAAGACTAGATTTATCATTTTTGAGATTTGAAAAAATAGAGGGATGAAAAATTGATGGAATGAAAAATCAATAAACTGGAAAACAGAAAAACAAATCGAAAAATATTGTATTCTCTGAATAAATGACATGTAAGATAAATATATATATCGATAATAAGATTGTAATGTCACATGTGAATGGATTCAAACATCAAACATGATTCAAAGTGTTGAAATGAAACTTGATTGAAGTTTTTTGTTGTTGTTGTTGTTGTTAAATTTGACTGTATTGAAATAAATAAATACATGAATGAATGAATATATAAATTCTTGGGTGCTTAGTGGTTAGCAATAGTAATGATCTCTTTATTTTCTTTCATCGTTCATGGTCAATCATCGGTGTCCGGGTTTTATATACGGTTCGGTTACTTTTTTTCATTCTGGATCATGCACACACACACACACACACAAACAAACAAACAAAACCGACAATAAACAAGCCGTTGAAACAAAACTCTCGGGACCCATATGGTTGAAGTATGTCCTTATATAATAATAATAATAACAACAACAACAACAACAACAACAACATCAACAACTGACAATTGTGAAATGAAAAACCAAACAAAACAAAACAAAAAAAATAAAAATAAAAGCCAAAAGGCATACAAACACACACAAACACAAACACATAACCTATTGTCAATTGGAATGACATATTTATCAACCAAT